CCTGGACATTGTAAAACAGTACTGGGCTTCGCAAGAAAGTGATTGCCATGAGGGCAGACAATATAGCATCCGCGCACAGGCATGACAAAAACTTTCTTTAGCTGGGCATGAAGAAGAAGCCTTCGCCATGAGGGCAGACAATATAGCATCCGCGCACAAACATGGCTAAACTTTCTTCGCTGGACGTTGATTTGACAATGAGGGCAAACAATATAGCATTCGCCACAAACACTGTCAAATCATGCGGTGAACAAAGATTGTTCAACCGCAAGCATTGCCGAAACAAATGCTTGCTGGGCTTATCACCTGACTTGCATCTCAATGGTCCAGGAATCACGATCAATTTGTCCCAACATCCCAGCTGTTGAACGTCGAAACATGATCGAGCGACTTCCTTCTATCGACGGCTTGACATTGCTGACTTCCGCCTTGATCGTCGTGTAGATGCATGCAGCGGCCGGTGTTTCCTTTTGAGAAAGGAAGAAAACTTGCTGGACTTTTCTTCCAATAAAGGAGAGTAACGAAAGATTCGTCTGGGCGTTAGAAAAGGATTCAACCACGGGGGCAGACAATATAGCATCCGCGCACGCTCATGGTTAAGCTTCCTTTCCGCTGGACGTAAAGAAGAAGCTATCGTTACGAGGGCAGACAATATAGCATCCGCGCACAAGCGTAACGAAACTTCTTTGCTGGGCATGAGCATGATAATGAGGGCAAACAATATAGCATTCGCCACCAACATTATCAGCCCCGCGGTGCGAAACGCATTCGACCACAAACATTTGATCGAGCAAATGTTTTGCTGGACTTTTTACCTTGCTTCCAGGATTACTTGTCCAGGGCTTGATCGGGGAAACGTCATCGCAGGCGATGCATCAGCTTGCGGCGTTTCGAGCGTCGACTTCTGCCTTGGTTTCTTGTGGAATCTTTGGCCGCAACGGTGTTTTCCTTTTGAAAGAAGGAATAAACTTGCTGGGCTTTGCTCCCAAAATGAGAGGAAAACGGGATTACCGTGCTGGGCCTTTATAAAACGTTTTCTGGACGTAAAGCTGGGCATGAAAGAGTTTTCCTTATCGAAAAAGTAGAAAACCAGCTGGGCTTTTGTTAAAAAAGCTTAAAAAAGTTAAATAAGTGAGTATAATTAGATAAAAGTTAAGGGAAGGTTAAAAACTAGTAATGAACGAATTTACAGGTGGGGAATGAATTTACAGAAAGGGGGAAACCGAAAAGACGAAAATACGAAAGAGACTAGGGTGGGAGGACCATGCCCGTAAGGGCGTGCGCACGCGCAACAGGGTTTGCCAAAGGGGCGAGTGAGCAGACACTAAAACGCGTGCCCAAAAGGGCTTTTTGGGGTAGTATGACGATGTTGCGCAACGCATACTCGTATTGGAAACAAAGGGAAACAGTACCTACCTAGTCAAGTGCCAATTCTGAAAGTGGCAACCAATCTCCACGGCGAGTTACGACAACACCAGGCATCTCATCCGAAGTGATACTGCGCGAGTTACGACAACGCGGAGTATTTTCTCAGAGAAGTCGATTGGCTGGGCGTTTGAGAAAAAGGCTAGTGAGTGTTGGTGAACACTAAAAGGAAACTAGGTATCTTCCACGGCGAGTTACGACAACGCCAGGCCATTTTCGGAATCACGGACTGTCGACGGTACCGGAAACCTCAAACTTGTCAGATCACCTAGTCCTAGGGGTGAAAAAGGAACAGCTACCACCGCGGTGAGTTACGACAACACCGGGCTTCACGAGTTACGACAACGTGAAGCATTGCAGCTGGGCTTTGTGGAATGGAAGCGGCATCAACGACCCTCCGTGGCGAGTTACGACAACGCCCGGCAACCCATCAGGGTACTCGAGGGAGATTGAGCGCCTCAGTCAATGTCTACGAGTACAGCTCGAAAGACAAGACCATATGATTACACCAACAAACACAAATGAAATAGGGAGATGCTGGACGTTTGTTCTGGTCATTTGCCGAGTTTTGGACCGAATGCAATGGAATTCTAGACCCGAATTTGTATCCCAGACGCACCATGTCGAAAGTAATAGTCCCTCTGCGCCATATCCTCTACTATAAAGATCACGGAGGAGGCTAGAGTTGCCACACTATCACCTTGGACTTTGCCCCTTGGGCCCCGCTCGGACAACCCTGCATCCGATAGACCGGGAGATGGCAAGGGATCCCAAGAGGCTATACAAGCAGTAATGTTCAGTGGTAGTTTCTACAATCGTGTAATAGAATCCAATGCATTTCGGTATAAGGATACAAAAGGTATACACAAAGTTTATCGGCATGTAAACCATTAGAATACGAGCACACTCATCGATGGATGGAAAGGGCAAGGTAAAGTGCTGGTCTAACCCGCTGGGGTTAGGCAAAAGATGCTGGGCGTAAGGCAAAAGGTAGCTGGTCTTCTGCTAACGCAATACCCGTACAGACCTGGTCGTTAAACCCTAGAGAAAACCGTAAATCGTCTGTTCGGAATAATCACGAAAGCCGCCCGGCCCCCTCTCTCCGAGGGGGCCTCGCGCTACGGTAACGTACAGGTTTTAGCAAACCATCGAACGTTGCAGCATAATGCTCGCAACTTTCGACAGGGGGAAGGGGGGCGAGCCGCCCCCCGAAATCGGCCGAAAGCCGAAAAGTTCAGAAGGGGGGACCCTTATGATTTAATTTTTCCAAAAAATTTTTTGCCTGCGGCGCTGTTTTTGGCTATTTTTAACACTCGTTTTAGTGTTATAAACCCTATGTTTTCAAAAATTTTGCCTGCGGCGCTGTAGTTTTGGTCATATTAGTGAAACATTTTTGGGGTCGCCCCCCCCCCCCCGAAATTTGGGTTTGTTACGGCCCTGGGTGGAGCGTCTGGCGTATGCTAATTGGGGTAGAAATTGTACATTTTGGTGCTTTGTACTTTTTGGAATCGATTCCGAAGGTCGTGAATTAGGATTTCAACGATCTTAGGCTTATTCTAGCCTATTTTTTTTGCTTGTTTTTCATTTGTTGTTAAGTTTTCCACAAACTGCAGCAAAATATTATTATTTTAGCTTTAAACAGCCTGCAAAAAAAAATAGAAAAATTTGAAAGTAAAGCATTTTTCGATTTTGGTTCTGGTTTTTGCCACTTTTCTTTTATCTACAGGGTGGCCCGAAAGAGTGGTGACCGCAGCTTGCACACAGAATTTCTCTGTTCCCTTATGGGTTTGGGCAAGGCGGGGTTATGGCTTCTGTTTCCTATAGATGTTGGCTAAATTTGAGCATACGCTCAGCGCACAACGCAGTCTAGCTTTTACATTAGGAATTTAATTCCATAATTCAAAGTCATGGATTTTTTGAAATCGACAAAATCTAAAATAAATTCCTGTGGATGAAAATACTTAACGATGCCTTTTCCATCTATTTAACGAGCGTGCCTGACATTTCCGGTGAAGCTCGTGGTGCAGCTATCGCTCAGAACCCTCCAACTTGGTCAAGTGACTGAGGCCCGTTATTAAGGGTTTTGACCAAACCGTTTTTTGCTCGCCAAAAGAGCCATCCTGCAGCCCCAACCCGAATCCGCAGAATTTTTTTGTGTAGCTGGTCTGAAAGGCCAAAGTGTTGGCTACTCCCCATTCAATTTTGGGTTCGCTCGCGAAAGTCTTCGTCGAGTTATGAGCCAAATTCGGGCTGATTGTCTGCGTGCCAGCACCTCCGTTTTCCATCCGCTTCCTCGCCAGTTTTTCCGAGTTTGAGGCAAACAAATAAAAAAGTCGTTATACCATGTGGAAGATAATTGTTTAAGGAATATAATGTGCTAAAATGAGCTTTCCTCGATCTATAGTTTTTCAGAAAATCGAAAAAGTTTCGGTCACCACTCTTTCGGGCCACCCTGTATGTTCTTTTTTTATTGAATCTTTATCTAATTTACTGTCTAAATCCTCTATTTTAGTTCCTGTATTTTAATGGACTTCGAAGCGACAAGAAAACTCTACTCCGACGTCATCGAAAAACCGGCCCTCACCGATAAGCTACTCTCCCGGCCTCCCTTCAAATTTCTACTCGATGTTTTCACAAATTCGATTGCTGCTACAGGGTATTTAAGGGTAAGTAATCTTAAATAGAATTCTTATCATCGTTTTAGTAAACGTTTAATGTTTAAAAATTAATGAGACAAATTGTATACGGCAATCAAATCAGTTTCTACTTCTTTTTCCAGTTTTGAGCTAAAAAAACTGTAATTTTGTAGTTTTCACTTTGAAAATCGGCAAATTTCCTTATTTAGGACTCGTTCCCACCCTCATCACTCGACGAATCAAATTTTGGTGACAAAGATGGGAAAGTGGGGTTCTTGGAACGAATTATCGCAGCTGCGAATACCGATGGTTCCCTGAACGATGTGAAAGCCGGGAAAATCGTCGCCGGAAAGGAGCCGGAGTTAACTTTAAAGGTAAGTACTACCTGGTTATTGACAAAATATGGATACGATAAACAGTTCTAGTGCTATTTTAAGCCGAAATGCGCATTTTCAGCTCCTCCAAAAGTTCGCCCAAGAAGCCCGCCAACACCGCGACGGCTCCGCCGGCAGCAATAAGGAGAATAAGAAAAAGTCTTCTTCTAAGGTTTCTTATCCCGGAGATCTAGAAAATAATAACAATGTAATTTAGGAGAAGAAGGAATCCTCCAAATCATCTTCAAAATCAGCAGACAAAACATCAGAAAAATCATCAACAAAAGATGCGGAGAAGAAGAGTAAAACTCGGGTACGTTAGAGCTTGCGAGGAGTATGAAATTTAAAATGGGGTTGAAGGTAGATAAATATGCTTGAAATGAGCTAGATATTTGTAATTATGCAAAATTAAGCTTTGCAGCCAGATTATCGTCAAAAATTGTCTGGTAATTGAGTTGCTTTGTGGAGTTTTGCGATGTATTTATTTCAAAAAGTGGGCCTAAAAGTAAGAGGCCAATAAATAACGATTTTTTTTGAAGAAACCGAATAGTCGAAAAACAATGTCATGGATTTTCAGGACAAATCAAAAGAGCCCGAAACTAAAGAAAAGGAGAAAGACAAAACGAGAAGCAATTCCAAGGAGCGGGACTCGAAATCAAAGACGAAAGAAGCGGATACCAAGGTGAAAAACCCCTATAATTTTTGTCATGCCATTACTTTTAGCCCGACAAAGAACGCTCGAAAAGCAAGGAAAAGTCATCAACGAAGGATAAGGAGAAGAAGGTCAGAATTGAGAATCAGCCTTCTAACTTTCTTTTTAGAGCTCAAAATCTGACAAGGAAAAGAAGGAAAAGAGTGCCAAGAAGCCCAAGATGGAGGAACAGGTAAGCTTGTGTTGATAGAGCTTGTTAAATTTTTGTTATTTCAGGTGCCAGCATCAAGAAGAGGTTCTGTTGCCCGGGTACCAGAACCAGGACCGGCTTTCGACCACGTCGAACAGGAAACGCACTTGGATAGTCATGGTAAGGAGAAGGAACTATTTTTAGTTATTACCGTAGAAAGTTACGCAAATATTAATATAACAAAAAGCTATAAAGCCACTATTTTAGACGAAGAACAATCAGCAACGGCAAAAACAGAGGATAGCGGATTCGGCACGGAAATGGATCGCACGATCAGCCCCAGGCCGCCACCCCCGGAATTGAGAGAGCAAACGAGGTAGGAATTGCACAAAATTGACATAAAACTTATGGCTTAGAATTGGAACGAGTATGGGTCGGCCTCAAACATCAATGGGACGACCTGGAACTGCAGCCGCGAGAGCTGCACCTCCAAAACTGAAGAAGAAGCAGATTCTGGAAATTGAGGAGAAGCCGCAGGTTAGAAACTCAATGCAAGAATTATTGCAAATGGCCCAAAAGTATCTAACAACTCATAAAATAGCTTAAGGCATGCCTGGTAACTAGTAAAATAGGCTGGAATCTCCCGAATTCACCCTCATCGACCCTCTAAACGAAGAAGGTTCGATATATTTTTAGGTTGTCGAGCCTAAAACCGAAATCTTCACTGAAACACCAGCTGCGAACCAAGTGGAAGAGGACTTTTTGGTGGAAGAAGAAGAAGCAAGACCGGAAGTGGCAAATGAGGAGTTTGACGTAAGAGACTTTTTACAAGAACCAAAATGATGATTGTAGGTTATATTCTAAAAACATCATTTTAGCCTAACGCTGAACATGGAGGCCTTGTAACCCGAATTATGGAAACAAGAGAGCAATTGGATGATGGTCAAGGGAGAATGGAGCACGACGACATAGATGACGGGGAGATGGCAAGGCAGAGGAGTCATGTACGTTTGGAATCAAGTATTGCTTAATGCTAAGGATATAATTTACTATGAACAAGACTCTAACCATACGTTTTTAGGTCGAAAACCTCCAGAAAAATCTCCAAAGAGTCACGCAGACAGCCTTTCCGCTGGCAAAACTGTTCGATTTTGCACAGGTAAGGAGAACGATGTTGTAATGGCGATACTTGCATTGAAAATCCCAAAGGTTTTACTCTAACTGCTCTAACTAATCAGCTCCCTTTGAAAATAGACGTTCAACAAAAGCTTTTTGAAGCAACATTGGAATTCAATATTAGAAAAACTCAGTATTGGAAAATTTACCTAAGTCATGTTTTTAGGAGGATCTCGACTCGATGATGAAGGAATTGGAAAAATGGAGAAATGAGACAAAGAAAAATGAGCAGGAGCTGAAAGAACGAGAAGCCCTAGGCCACAGTGAAGCGCATAAGTAAGTTGATTTTTGAAATTGAAAAAAATTGACTGGTTTTAAAGCCAAGAATATATAATACCCCTCTACTAGCACGATCACAGGTGGAAAAAAAAGAAAAAACGAAAAGATGCTTGAAATTCCAGATTTGCCGCTCAACTCGCTCAGCTAGAGGATTCCCTGCGAGAAACAAGACAAAGCCTGCAAAATACGAAAGGAAAAATGAACTCGAACGAGGAGCAGTTGAAAATAATGCTGGGCAGCATGTAAATTCCAATGTGATGTTTACAAACCTTTTGCTACCATTTAAAAATGCAATTTAAACTACAACTTTTCCTTGTGATTTTCATGATTCGTAAAGTTTCCCTATGCTTGCCCTATTTGCCTTGCAAAATATCTTCTGGCCTTCTTTGAAAAATTCCCCAGATTTGCATACCCTGACCCTGTGATTGGCTCGTCAAAAATATTGTAAATATGGCTTTTCGGAACATCTATTTAATGTTAGTCGGCTAGCTGGTTAAAAAATAATGATAAAGCACGCTATGACATAAAAGGATCAACGAACGAGACATGGGAAACGAAGAAAATTACTTACATACCTTTATCGGTGATGCATGGATTACAAGGCGATGTCGAGAATAGGCTTCTGTAGCCGGTCTTTTATGAAAGATTGAAACAAATGTTAGGCCGTTGATTCCACCACTTTACCGATGGACAAGGCTTGAGAACGGAGAAGGCTGGTCCCACTGATAAATCGCAGGCTGCCTCATGCGGCTCGGATCGGAAACGCGGGTACGGTACCGTTAGCCTGTAGCCCACCCAACCCGTTCCGTCGTTTTTGCCGACCAAAAAAGGACTCATTCGCCGTTTATGATCCATCATCATTTCGCGACACCAAGCAAAGTGGCCGGACTTTTTGTTCGTTGATCCGAAGAACAAAAAGGAGGGTACGGTAACATCCTAGAGCTAAATATCGGAATTTTTTCAGCAAATTAAGTAATATGGAGAAGCTGCAACACAGTGCGCACTTGTTGCAGAGCTCCAAGGCCGCTTGCCACTTTTTCATGCATTGCAAAGACGCGGTGGAACAGAAATTCTCGCAACTTGGACTGATTAGCTGAAAAAAAATGGACGTTTCTTTATCAAATTGGATGGTCGTGGGAGAACCCAGCGGAGCAGACGAGGCAAGAAAAATAAACGCACAATAAGTAGCTTTTCAATATTGTTTAAAAATTGGAAAAGCCCTAAAGAACTCCGCTCCTAAAATTGGATGGAGCAATAGCTTCGGAGGTTGAAACGAAGCCTGTTCGTACAAAAAAGAATCGAGGAGACTCGAGTCAAGCCAACAACATAGCAGGAAATAGTTTTAGGAGCTTTCTAAGGAAAATCTTGAGCTCCACTTTTACACATCGAGCAGTCGTATTTTTGGAGTTTTTGAAGGTTTTGCTTACCATTAATTTTTATTTATAGCTCCAATTCGCGAAGAAGATATTCTAGCACAGATTCCCTATAAGCCGAAAAATAGCTGCCAGAATTTACTCGTCACGTTTCCGCGACCTATCAGCGATACCGTGAAGTGTGCTTTTATTTTTCCAATGCTATTTGCTTGTTTTCTTTGTTGCCCTTCCTCGCCCCATTCGTAGGTATTGGCTTGAGGGAAAGGACTGTAACCTCCCGAGAAATCGAGGGTATTCGATGGATAGAGGATGGGGTATAGGGGGACGCTGGAAGCCAGTTCCCTGCAGCCATTCCACATAGCTACTCTACCCGTTCGAGTAGCCCCCCAACGACCATCGATTACGCCTTTACTCGTCCCAGATTCTGCATGGTGACTGAAAAGCCTTGCTTTTATTAGTTAGTTGCTATTTCAATTCGATGTGTTCCGTGACAACAAGCGTAAATCTCAGCCAAGAAAAATCGCGTCTGAAAGCTTAGAAAATGCAGATTTTCACATATTTTAAGCTTTTTCCGTACGTTTTTGACGTATGACGTATTTTGTAAATATTCGAGCTTTCGGAATCGACGACTATGTTCTTTCCGCTATCTCGCTTTAATCATCAAACTGGGGGTCCTCAAAAACTGTTCAAAATCAACTTTATACTTGATCGTTACTCTGGTCGGCTTCTATCTCTCTCGCTCTCTCTCTCTCTCTCTCTCGTTCTATCCCTCTCGGTCTCTCGGTCTCTCTCTCCCTCTCTATCTTTACTTTCTCTCTCTCTCTCTCTCTCTCTCTCTCTCTCTCTCTCTTTCTCTTTCTCTCCCTATCTCGCTCTCCAAAAACTAAAAATTAGGAACTTTCAAGGGTTCAGGATTACGGTACCAAAATCAGCATTTACCCCAACAAACCCTACAACTTTCCCAATACCAATAACCAAACCGGTTCCACTTGCAAGTTCCATCAAGGTCTTGCCCCCGCTATCCAGATACAGGGGTCGTATTATGCATTGGTTAGCTAAAAAAGTGGGGGGTAAAGCCTAAGGGTCAACTTTCCAAAGAGCTTCAGGAGGATGCATTGTTCCCCGCTTTGCCCCCGGCCGGGACCGGAAACCGGCCATTTTTGTGCCCGTTTACAGCCTAACCCCTAGGAGCGTTCCCCCCATAATTACGGTGAGCAACCGAGGGAGACGAACGCAACCCTGACTCCGGTAGGCGGGAGGCAGGTATTCCGGAAGTTTGCATCAGATTTGCATATTCGTTTTTGAAGCCAACGTAGCCAAGGTCTCGTAGCCGAAGCTTGGCTACGTCGGATTGCTATGTACAGCCGCATAATATATTTTGTGTGCATTTTCCCTCCACGCTAAAATGCACGATGGTTTGGCTACGGTAAGGTACCTATTGGAAATTCGCCTTTATGATGTCGAAAAATGCACGGGATTTTTCTAAGCAAGGAAACACTCGATTTCGATCTCAGCTGACGGCTTTGGGATCGAAACCTTTACTGCGATATTTTTTAGAACCCGTGGATCAGCGGAAGTAAAATTTTGAGGTTTTGAGGTTTGTTACGATTAGCGCGTTTGTACGGTTCTGTATTTTAATTCTAAATACCTTTTTTAAGATTTGCTAGACGCTTGAGCACCATCTAAAAATTATAAGAAACTTTTCAGAGCAGTAATCCACCGTATATGGTACGCCACTATCAGTCACCGCTCCTTACAACCTTACATTATAATACACCCACCCGATCTCAAGTATTCCCCCCCCCCGTCGTCACTCACTCATGCATGCAGAGTAATATTATCGTAGCTACAGGGATCTATCTCCCCGGGAGCCAGTCTCGTTTTCGCCAGTTCTTGCTCATAGCTCTCTCTACCTCCCTCCCTCTCTCTCTCTCTCTCTCTCTCTCTCTCTCTCCGACCAGAGCCCTGTAGAAATCCCTATAACACACCAATACCTGCCCAATCTTTGTTGCTTCTTTTTTACATTCTCGACTGAATTGGCAGACAGAAGCTTTGGGCATTCACCCTAAAGTGTGACCTAACACTCCTGCCATTGTGCTGCATCCGTTTTTGCGTGGATCCTCCCACACAGCTCTACTACAGCTTATCCCCTGACGCATCTCGCAGCTAGTTTTGAGCTCCTTTATGACAGGGCTAGCCAGCTGGCTGGGCGTTTAATGTACAGAGGTGTACACTAGACGTCGGGGTACTCTAGGGTACTGCGTGCCAAGTTGTGACACTGGCTTTTAAGGTTTCTGAAGTTAAATAGGGCACTTTCTAAAAGCTTAGCGCGTAATTTGTTGGGTTTCGCAGCCGTTCTAGTGGCGTTTCATCGAATATTTATGATTCCTACAGCAATTGGAGATCATAATTTTGGTATATTTTGTAATGCTACTGCCGATAATTCATCTAATTACCTTAATTACCATTACAACAATATTATCAAAAAATTTCGGGTTTTTTAGATTTACGTATTAAAAGAAGCCGCAGACATATCTTTTAAAAAATTTTTACGTTATCAACTCTGCTTGTAACTGCTTCATTGACGAATTGTTTTCCGAGCTGTTCTGCCAATTTTTGGCCCTACGAAAGCTTTAACCCTTTTTCGACGTATTTAACATTTTTCAATTTTTTTTACTAGAAAATTGTAGCATTTTGCCCATGTTATAT